TCTAGCATCTCTTCCAGCTCTACCAGATCCTCTGTGCTCATCTTTCTATACAAGATTTTTACTGGTGTGATGTGAGAAATGGAAAGATAGAAACTTCCACAGACACTGAAGGGTTTGATCTGCAGCCTTAGGAGAAACTTGGATTGATGTAAAAATAAAATACACAGATATTAAGCAGAAAAATCATAAACTTATGTTCCTATAGTTGTAAGTAAGAATGTGCCTTAAGTAAGAAAAAAACTGTATTCATAAGATGCCGAAGGGTTTATAAATGTAGGCATGTGGTTCTGTAGAGTAAGCTGAGAGTTTAGATGTAATAGAAGTATGGATAGTAGCCTATTGAATAAATGTATCCACAGTGCAGCAAAATTAAGTAAAGGTGATAGGTTGGAAAAGCAAAATAAACTGTCCATTGGATTAGAAAGTTCTGTATTGTCTTGTAATGAAGAACTTGTGACAATTTTGAGCTATGGCCAACTGCTTGCTCTCTTAAATCTCACGACCTCTGAGGCTGATGTTTATCTGAGCAGTAAATTGTTTTTAGCCCAACTGTGGTCCCATCCCTTCATTAATTAATAGTGTTCCCTCTCATGCTCTTAGGTTTCTCTGCTCAGATCTCTCCTTGTACTATCATCCCAAATCTCATCTGGGCCCTTCTCACAGTTTCATTGGAATGAAGTATCTCTTTCAGATATAATGTTCATATTCAGGTTGGATTTACTTGCTTGACATCCAAATTAGTCTGTGAAACAGAGAATTGGGAATGCCACAACTAACAGTGGATAATTATAATGATTTCTTTCCATATCAAGGCATTCTTGGACATTTTTCTTAAAATCCACAGAAGAACCCCTGTCCTTTTTTCCCCTTTCCATTCTGTTCACAACACCCTACCCCAAAGCAGCAGAACAAAACTCACTAGGAAGACTGACTTCACTTTTCAGGAAATTTTGCTTATTTAACGTATTTACAATTTGTTCACATTTAGTTTTCTGAATTAATAATTTATTCTGCATATCATGCCCCATCAATGGACCTTGTCTGCATTCCAGGTGATTGCAGCAGGAACCTTCCTCTGAGAGCAGCACAAATTGATTCCAGAGGAACTGTAGCTCCCAGTGTAAGCCCAGGGCAGTCTAGGAGTATGTGGACAAGGAATATCCCTAGCTAGCGTGGCACATGTGAGAAGGCCACAGGCAGGAATTAAGAAACAACAGGAAAAAACAGAATAAAACCAGGAAAGTTGTGAGACACATAAATCTCAGAGGACAAATGCTGAAAGATTCAGATTTAAGGTGATGAGATGCAAAAAGCTTTGTATAAAGGGACTTTATTTATCATCTTGTTCCAGCTACCTGCCATGGGACACCTTTCACTGTCCCAGGTTGCTCCAAGCCCTGTCCAGCCTGGCCTTGGACATTTCCAGGGATCCAGGGGCAGCCACAGCTGCTCTGGGCACCTGTGCCAGGGCCTGCCCACCCTCCCAGGGAGGAATTTCTTCCTGCAGTGCTCCCAATCACTCCATGATGCTCTGTCTGCTCTCCTTGGGAGAGCTCAGGCAGTGCAGACAGGTTAAAATAATTGCATTGCATCCAAATCTGGGGCCCCAGAGCAGGAAGGGCATTGACCTATTGGAGCTTTAAAAAACAGCATTACCACCTCCCCTCCCAGGCTAATTCCCTGAGTAAAGGAAAAGAAATAGCAGATATATTTAGAAGAATGTTACCACAGCAAAATCAGAAGTACAAAATGAGTGTATTTTAGGATGGCATTTGCCTAGGCAATCCTAATTCTGTCTCTTGTGCATATTTATAAGGGTAGACACTGAAATCCTAATTTCCTGAAAGTCCATGGGCTATTTGACATGGACATCAGAGATGCCAGTATTTCACCTACAGCTTCATCTACACTCTTACCAATTTCAGATACTGATTTTATCATGAGATTCTTTCCTCTTTTACAGAGCTGTCTGAATGGAAGACTTTTATTTTCCCTTCTCTACGTATGGTGTGTGGCCCAGTGCCTTATTTACTGCACACATATAAAGTCTACATTGAATACAGGATTTGAAATTTCTCATGACTGTTTTTCATCATAAATCCTTATTTTTCTCCCGAATCTTACATGTGCTATGAAAGCATCTTCAGACTGGTTTTGCTGAGCAAAAATGCATTTTGAAGCATTTGCATTACACCACTTCTGTTTTGTAGATTTGAACCAGCAGCACAGAGAGATACACACAGATTTGTCTAATGCCTACTAACTCTCAGCTCTGAATTATTCATAAAGCTGATTTATTCAGATATCTTCAGTGCTTTATGTCTAGAGCAAAATTTCTGTTCATCTTAGCTTCTGTTATGAGGTCTCACCATTTTTGCCAATCAAGCTCCATTTATTCTGAGTTAGTTATCAAAAAACCAGAATTCACTTACATTAGTGGTCATCTAAAGTCTGATAGAATTGCCAAAACTGCCAAAGGACATAGAGCAGAAACCAGCAATGTGTCTTCATTCCCTGATCTCACTATCTAGCATGTGAGGGACTAAAAAGATGCCCCAGAGAGCTAAACTCAAAGCCAGAGGGAGTTTGAACCTTCTTGTCCCACCTCACCCACAAATCTCCCAGCTGCAAACCTACAACTCTTTGGACTTGTGCCTAAGAAGATGCAAACACAATTTTAAAAATGCCACATCCAGATTCACCATTCTTTGCATGGATGAAATATTCAGTGAAGTCAACAGGCATGCTGTCAGTCAAATAAAAATCAGATTTTGCTTGGGCAACACATATTTGCTGGAAAACATGTGAAGATGTTGGAGTTCAGCTACATATTAGGAATTAAGGATTTACTGATTTAACACTTGACTTGTTATTACAGGTCTTGAACCTAAACCAAAAAAAGGAAAGAAGCACAGAAAGAGATATCTGTGGGAAACTATAGGCAGGATTCTAAAACTGTGGTAGTAATTTGCTAAATATGTGGTGTAGTGATGCTACAAAAGCTGACACAACCTTTAATCCTGAGACTGCTCCATGAAACACCTGTTTGCTATTAAGGATCAGGGACATCTAAAGCTTTTGGCTTTTGACAAAGAAAGGAGAAGCATATTATCAGAATCCTGCTGAAAAAAAAAAAAAAGCCTAATAATGTAATATAAGGGTCACTAATGCCTTGGGAGAGGACAAAGACAAAACAAAATAATCTTCTTTGTGCTGGAATGCATTCATCCCACAAGTGCCTCACAAGTCATGGAAGGAAGCAGCAATAAGAGCCAAGGGTTACTGCTGCTCAAACAAAGAGATCTTCAGGTTCCCAAAGCAAGTCTAAAAGGACAAGATCCAAAATAGAACAGCAAGCAGGACTCCAGACAGGGGAACAGGGCTCTGGGACCCAAATGCCACTGCACCTCCTCAGATGACAGAACCATCCTACCTTTGCATTTAAAATTCTGGTGCTTGGAAATTTGCAGCACCAGCATGAAAACATCTGGGAGAATGTTTGTATCCATGTTGAACTGGGTATGAGGCAAAGCACTGAGTGCTCAGTCAAGGATGATCAGTGCAGCCAAAAGCCTGAGGGAAGCCTTTGCAAAGGTTGGAGTGTTCTTGTGGTGACATTTTCAAATGCAAGCTCAACAGTCACACACCCTTCATATTCTGCAAAGGCTGTGTGTTCCTGCAAAGCCTGCAGCAGAAGGAAAGGCATACAAACCCCAGCTGATCACAGCCTAGGGCTCCATTATATATCAAATTAATTCCCAAATCTGTTTCTGCAAACAGCTTTTCTGCAAGACCAGTGCAGGTTTTGCTGGGCACCATTAATTTGTGGATGTTGTAACTTGATTGCAAATCCTCAGGTTGTTCCTCAGCCCTTTACCCAGGTGAAATTCACATTTAAATAGAAAGAAAGGTTTGCACCAAAAAGATTAAATGAAGTAATTATAATTTTTGCTTCTGGAGACCCCACTGCCCAGCATTTGAGCTGCCTCTGTGTTATGGGCATCGCTCCTCATGTCAGTTCCTGACTGAGCTCTCACAGAGCTGCCATGCAGGGCTCACCACCCTACACAGGGCATCCACTGAGTTTACACTTTAGTTTGGACATGGCTGAAAACAGTGACTGACTGCTCCTCTGTGTCACTATATTATTCCTGCTCCAAAATCAAAAGTGAGAATATATTTTTTTGTCTGCACTGTGAAACATCCAGATGGGTTTTTTTCCTAAACTCCATGAGAACCTTCTGCCAATTCTTCTTCACTGCTGTGAAGTCATCATTAGTGACAGGGTAAATGAAGCTACATTCTAAACCATGCTTTTTGTAATTTTATTTTGACAAATAACATTTTAGTTTCCATCATCATGTATTAGTGAATGAAAATAGCTAGAAAAAAATTAGGTCCGATTTCACCACCGAAAAGTAAAATGAGAAGAGACATTCAAAGAGACTTACTGGCTTTGTAAAAATAACAAAGGGAAAACTGATAAGCTCCTAGCCCAGTTTTGCAGTTCTTTTGAAATGGAGGGCACACCAGCCCTGAATACACACACCTGAATGCACACATCAGAACTGAAGCATTATTCCATTATCCCATTACACAAACCAGTAACCTCCAAAAGCAGGGTGAAAACTGGGATCAGGGACTCATCTCCAGAGCTCATCTGAGACTGAGTAAAGAAAAAGATGTATTTTATGCTCTATTGTTCCACTCTATTTCGATTCCACAGAATAATTTACAAGACCTTTATATCCAGATCACAGGATATTCTGAGTTGGAAGGGACCCCACATGGATCATCAAGTCCTACTCCTAAGGGAATGGCTCATATCTCATACAGGGACTGAACCCACAACTTTGGGGTTCTTAGCACCATGCTCTGAGCTCATCTGAGGGTCTTCTCTCAGTGGTATAAAACAGAGGAAAATGTAAATAGCAGCATTAGGAGGTCTACTGCAGTTAACATCAGATCATCACAGATATTCTGGATTCTCACATCCTTACCTGCTGTAGCACTGGAGACTGTTGGCCACTGCTGATCAGGCCCTGCTGCTCCTCCACGCAGGACTCCTGCCTCCTCCATATGCACAGCACTGGGTAAGCAAATATCACAGTTGGGTTATACAGCTCCCTTCTGCCCTGGACTTCACAGCATTTCCCTTTCCTGCTACTTCTTAAAATTCATAGCTATTTCTCACTGTGCAGCTACTCCTACAGTACTGCATGATGTTAGCAGCATGAGAAGCAGCTGTTTTGACTTGCAAAAAATACCTTTGATTATTTACTAAAACCCAGTCGTGGAATAACTTACAAAACAAACACACCTGCAGGACACTTCGCTCTCATTGACTGGGAGTCACTAACAAGGAAGTGACACATCTTTGCTATTAGGATGTAACAACACTAGGCAAATGATTAAAAAGTTGGATTTAGTTCTGAACTTCTGTCATTATGCCATTTTAACAAATCCCACCTTCCTGGGTTACTGCACATTTCTCGTGAGCAATTCCAGAAGAGAAATGCATTTTCTCAAATGCAAAAACTAATACATCAAATTTTATAGTGTCACATCATGAGCACTGGGCATCAAAAGCACCAATTTGCACCTTACATGGAAGGAAAAGAAAAAACCTGCTATTTTTAATACAAAACCAAGCATGATGTTTATATGTTGTTCCTTAAGAGAAACGGGATTCTGTGGCTGTGCCCCTGCCTCTGCTCACTGGCTTCACACTCCCTTTCACACTTCCAGCTGAACTTAAGGGCCAGTTTCATCCAAATGTGGCAGATATTAAGGGTATCAAATTTCTACAAGTTTTATGAAAAATCAGCATTTAATGAAAGCCATCAACGGGGCAGGGCTCACAGGCTCAGAACCTGAGATTTCAGGTAAGGACAGGGGCTGCTGATGTGAGAGAGCAGAGGAACGTGTACAATTTCCCAGAAGGGCCCCATTAGTCTTGTGGGATTAAAAAAAGCTCTTCCTTTTCATTAATTGCTCAAGTGGCTTCAGATAACATCTTGTACTTCGTATAGAAAGGAATGTGGATCCACAAGAGCATGCCTGACTCAGGACCTGCAGATAAGGTGCTCAGGTAGGCAGAATTCCTTCTTCAGGATCCTGCTCCCCACACTGTTCATTGATTTTGCAGTTATGGATTACAAAATAATTGAAAGCCACAGCAGGAATATAAAAGAAAGAAAACAGCTTGCCTAGGAGGCCACAAAGTCAAGCTTGCTCTGTCTTCCTTTGCTTTTAGTCCTTGAGGTTTAGATTCCTTTTTACACAGCATCTCAAAGACAGGTGGGAGTCATTCTGTGTCCACATGCACATGAAGCACAGTGTGACTCTGAATTTAGGACTTCAGTCTCATAAAAACTCTTGGATAAATGTACAGCACCACTGCACCAACAATTCTGAGAAACCCGTACAATCCTGCACTTTGTGATGCCACTAGGAATGACTGCAACCTCAGAACTGCCTCTACACCTGTACAGGAATCTTATTAATCACATCAGATTACACCTGAACATAGAACAAATTTACTAGGCTGCTCAGAGAGAGTAAAAATACTGTTTGATTTAGGCTCTACAGATGCAATTTTAGTATAATTCTCTTTATCCAAGTGTACTGAGTAGAAAATCATAGCAGGCTGCTTGCAGTATCAGGCAGCAGCTTTTCAAAGATGTCTAAAGAGATTTGGACAAAAGCCTCACTTTTCCTTCTTTGAAAATCCATCTCATATCTTCAAAAAGTCCTTTCAACTGTATTAATCTTCTTGATTGCACCATGTGGTTAATAAACCTGCTGCAGGAGCAGCTACTTTTATGGTAATGTGAAACAAGAAGTTGGAAATGCAGACTGACTATTGAAACATCAGCACTGATGATCACAGGGAGCTTTAAAATAAACAAAAGGTATATAATGACAATTAAATGATTCAATAATTGGAACAATTATGCCTTGACAGTCAATGGATACAAAAGCAGAAGGTAAAAAGAAAGAACAGCACAGCTCTACAGCAGTGCAATAACAGCATAAGATACAAGTCAGACTGAATCTGTAGCACGAGGAGATTGGAAGTGACAGCAGCAGAACTCAGGTGCTTTCCATCTCAGCACAGATATCATCAGTCTACGGCATCAGAAGAAACTTTGTCCTTTTCGTAGAGGAAAAGGACAGATTTCCCCTTCTCCGGAGAAACACCACACATACCTTTGCATTCCTGCCCTCAGAGATGCAGAGTAGCGCCAGTCCGGATTGGGGTGTTTTGGCTGTAGAAACAAAAGCCCAGGACAATGCTGTTAGTGGCAGTAAAACATTCTAAAAAGCATCTGCATCTGGCTAATTTTGTCAGAAAAACCTATATGGATATAGTAAATTTTTGTGAATTGCCAAATCTTCCTATAAATCGAAAGAAACTTTGAAATGGGCACACAGGGAGTGTCTATGCAATAAATTTGTCTGCACAGCAAGGCCTGTGGCTAGAGATGATCTCTGTGGAACAAATTTTAATGCTGCAAGCTGCTGGAAAGTTATTTCATACATTCATCAACATTTTGGGCATAGGATAAAAAAAAAAAACAACATCAGAAACCCAGAAAATACATTGTTTGTTTACCTGATAAGGTGAGGAAACTCAAACTCCTGCACTGAACATTATCTGCCTGAGGGTGTATAAATGTGAGGGGACGTGGGGCAGTGAGGTTTCTGCTGGAATTCAATGTACTGCAGAGGACTGCAATGGATGGTATCAGATTTGCAGACTGCAGCAAGTCTTTTATTAAGGACAGACATGTCCATAATACCAAAACCTATTAGATTCTCCATATTCATGAGAGGGCATAAAAGGTAGAAAGGGAAAATAGCCAGCAATACCCTTTGACCAACCAACCTCAGCATATGCTGATGTGCTGCAGCATGACTTGCTAAATAAGGAGATAATTAAGAAATCCTCTGTTGATCAAAAATTGCTCCAGAAAATAGTTTTCACAATGTCAGGGGACTGTCACTGTAATTTTCATCTACATCCTACGAGTGCAAGCTCAGGTCCCTTAAAATTAAGCCCTGAGGACATACCAAGGTTATTTCTCAGGATACTAAAAAGTTTATTCTGTAGGTGATAGTGTAGTGAGTGCTTAAGTTCAGGCACTGGAATCCAAAGACAGAACTTATATCCAAAAACATAATGGACTACATTCATTCCTGATGTGTCTTGCACAGTGCCAATCACACAAATAATAAATGACAGTAATGGTTTAATTCTCTTCAAATTATTGGAGGCAGATCAGGAATGAATTTGACCCCATTACTTGAAAGAGAAAAAGAAAGTGTTGAATGTTCTGAATTATTTAAAGCCAACTCTCTTTCCTCTTGAGGTTTGGCATATGCTTTTCCCTGGATCAATAGGTTTTATTCAAACAAAAATGGAGCAATTACAACTTACAGTATTGCTCTATCACCACACTTCCCAGGTCCAGCATCACTCAAGGCTGAGATGCTTTTGGATGATGCACATACAAGTATTCTTTATGGTCTGAGTTACACAAAAGGGAGGAGGAGGCTGCTGTTTGCAGCCACACATTAAACATCTGTGCTAGCAATTTCCTTCCCATTTAGCCCCCTGTTCTCTGTCATGCTCAGGTTCTGCTGAGTTTAGCAGAAAGTGGTTTGAAAAGAAGCCCATTATGCATGGTTCTAGTCTTTTCTGATTAATTCCATTTTGGCCCAATCCCAGGGATGTCAAAGCAACTCTAAAGTCAACCACATAGTACCAGTCAATGGAAGAGGATAGAGAACACACACTGATCACTTCCTCTCCTGATTTTGCCTTTCTTGAGTATGAAGGGTGCTGACACCAGAAGATTTGTCTTTTCTTCTGCTGGGGCTTTTTTGTTTGGTGGTTTTTTGTTTGTTTTTTTTAAATAGCAGAAGAACTGCTGGACTTTTGTTCTATTTTGCAATTTGAGAGGTGCAGGTTATTAACTTGTACATGCTTGTAGGCAATGTGATGGGGAGGAATCTTACCACAGTCCCAGGCAAAACACAGAATAAGTGGGATTACAGGAAAGCACTGAAAAAGTCTGGCATGAGTTGGGTAGGAGTGAGAAAAGAGGAAAACGACCACTCACAGTACATAGATTTTTGGGTTTTAGATGAGAGCTTTCCAACTCTTGAGTAGAAGACAAAAATCTATGTTCTGTTTGCAATGGGACATCAGATCTTAAATAGGTGATGGTGGCAGAAGAAACTCATTAGTTAGAAATTAAACATGTTTTCACTTCACATGCCTGGACCAAGACTCTTCATGTCAATAAAAAAGAAATTAAGAGACTGGTATTTTCAAGGGTTACTGTCCAGAAGCTCTGGGATCTTGTGGCTGTTCCCAAACAGTTCTCTCTTTGCTATGACTCCTTGAGTAGGGCTGCAGTGCTATTCCCAGGGGAGCAGAAGAAGGAAGGAGGGTACAGGATGAGCAAAATGTACTCTGGAGGTGGAACTATTGCCACAGTTGACCGTCAGAGGTATTAAAAAATACCAACAGGGGGTATTTTTAACTATGAAAAAAAAAATCAATATCTGTGACTTCAAAAATAAGTCATTGGAGGAAGAACCAGAGCACAAGGCAGTTGAGCAGCAGCCTGCCTTTGTGCAGACCTATTTTCACCCACTTTTACCATGTGCTTGCTGCTTGACTGGGTATTTTCAGAGCTCAGCAAGAGGCACATTTATCCCACACTTGTGTTACCACAGGTCAGTGTCCTGTAACTGACAAAATCAGTGGAATTTCTATTTTGTCAGCATAACTGGCTTATCCTTTTGTTCTGCTACAGACTGTAATTCTTTCAGTTTCCCTGACCATAAGAGAAAAGTTGTTTCAATACATCTCTAAATGAGACTGGACTAGAAAAGCAATAAAGTATGACCAGTAACAGAAGTCAAGCACAGCAGAAGCAGCAAACAGGTTCAGTAATATCTCTCCCCAGCTCAGCTGCAGCAGTGTTGCTTCTCAGAAATCCATGAGGAATTCACAGTCTAGAGGCTTGGGTTGGTTTATATCTCTGGTTAAGAACAGTCCACCTTCAGCAGACCTCCCTCCAAAACCTGCCAGGACAGCATCTCAGGGCAGAGCTGGCTCCTCAGGCTGCACAGCAGCTCTCAGTGGGCTCCTCTGCAAAGCCCTGTCCCAGATTTGGCTGGGAGATGTGCAGTGTGTCCTAAACCAACCCCACCAGGACAAGGCACAGCTGTCTGAGTGCACAAAGGGAGCACAAAGAGGAACACAGGCTCTGAAGGGGTCCGGGTGCTTCCCAGTTGTAAATCCCCACATTCTCACTATATCACACAATGCTGATGAAGACAATATTGTTCCTTTTACTTCCTCAGCTCATTACAAGATTCTGTTTATCACAATCCAGCACATTCTATTAGATTGAAGTTAATTTTAGCTTGCCACTTCCCTAGACATTTTGGGAAGCCACATAACAAGTCCAGCAGTCCTGTCAGTAGGTGAAAGAAATCCCATGATCCAGCACAGAGTAATCACCCATTCCCATTTTTCCCATCAGTTGATTTTTCTGATTCAGTTACAGCACACCACCATTAGAGTGTGAGACAAGTCAAAATCTATCCAGGTGTCTGTGGAAGGGGTTGTCACTGCACCTCATGCCACCAATTTGCTCCTGCTGCTTCTTCCAGGCACCAGGCTCACATTCTGCCAGCCACATAACCACAGACATCAGTGGTGCTGGTCATAAACAACCAACCCCACTGGGAAGCCTGATAATATGAATGTATCATGTAAAACAGAGCCATCTTAGGAGCAAGAAAGCTCCTGCAAAATGTCACACAGTTGTTTTCAAGTGGGTTAACTGAAGAATGGTTTAACTGGTTTGTGGAGAATAAACTTAGTGGAAAATGTATTGTTACAATCATTTTCCTCAGCTCTCTTTTTTACCTAATACAGTAAGAATTTCTCCCTGGGGTAGGAGAAATTTCTGGGGTTTTAGAATATTGCCCTGATCCCATGTTCAATGGATCAATGCAAACACTACCTTTCACTTCAGTGCTTGCTAGAACAAAACCTGCTTGAGGTAGAGAAGCATGAATCAAATATTTACAAACAGTTACCAGATGCTGAGACTCATAAAAACATCCTGTTTAACTCTGATTTCCACACAAATGCACAACAGAATGACATAAGGCATATTTATCAAATGGATCTGCTTTGAAGCATTAATAAAAGCCTTTCAGAACCCCTAACCACATAAGGCTCTACTTATTTTCCAGTCAGACAATGCTGACAGGTATGAGGAAACAGAGGCTTCTATTCCTGCTTTCCTTGTGTAAATGTTTAGAATTAACTTGATGTGGAGAACAAACTATTTAAAAATGTGTTTATCATTCAAGAAATCAAAAAGGAAACTGGAAAAAGGTGTAATTCAAAAGCCCAAAGTCTGGGAATGTTCATTTGCATTCCTAACTCTGAGAAAACTGAGGTGAGGGAACAGACAAGTGCTTCTGTAAAGTACATTTAATGAATTCCAAGAGGAGGAAAACACCTCTGCTTAATCTTGGATGCAGATTTCTGCTGGCACAGCAGAAGCCTCAAACCCAGTGCCTGACTGCCCTGAAGTGTGCTCTGAGCACTGTCCCTGCTGCCATTAAACAAAAGAACAAACATTTATAGTTAACCTTTTCAATGTCAGCAGGGCTGGAGAACTTCTTAAAGACTTAAGTTCTTGAACTGGGATTGTAAGACATTCCACCATTAATACCTTTAAATCCTCTGAGAGAAATCTCCTGGACAGACTGCTACAGACAGTGATGTGGGGTTACTAGGTTTAGACACTTCAAAACATGCTTGCATTTAAAACAGTATCAAAATGTGTTCAACTCAACTGTTGCTTTCTTTTTTCCATGTGTTTAGCAAGCTGGTTCTGAAGTGAAAAATACAGAGAAAGAGACAGAAGCAGAGCAAACGCTGCAAAACTCTAATGGATCTCCTGGGTCTTACCACCATCAGTGCGAAGTTTTTTTCACTTTCTTTAAAAGTGTCCATAGCGTAACACACTTTATTTCTGACCAACACATGAAACATCATATTTTTTCATCCACATGTATCACCACACAAAAAAGGGCACAAGGAAATGGATAATATAAAAGAGTTTAGCTCTATCAAGTATCCCAACTGCCCACTCCTCATTAAGAATGTGCCACGCTGCCTTTTGGGACAGAAAACTGTTGAAACATTTTGGTTTGATTGTTACTTCCT